TGTTGGTGATGTCAAAACTTGGCCAGTTAACTTGTCAACTCGCTCTAACTGAAGCGACCAGAAACCTAAAACTCCCTCGTATTCGTTCACACTGCTCGAACGGTGCATGAATGTACATAAATGGAGCAAATTTGTTATTTTTCTTATTGTTGTTTGTGGTGGCCGCAGCCGTGTGCGCTATGTGCTTTAAGTCGATTTTTTTTCGTCTATTTATTTTCGAGTAAATTTACTGTACGCTTCGAATTTAGGACAACCGCAGCAATGGCGACTGCTGATTGGTTGATGCGAACAGTACCGCCCTCTCGAAAATGGAGCGCAGCAGTGGTGACGGCACAAATAGCTTTGAATGTGTAAGTGTGGTAGCGCTAGCAGTGTGAGTTGCTTCAAAGAGGGTGGCGGTGGTTTAAAAAAGCGTCTGCATGTACACACATATGTATGTATGTGCATACCTACGAGAAGAAAATATTTCAAGAAACAAAAAGGCGCATACGAAATATGTTGCTTATACATATGTATATGTATGTATGTATAAATGTAAATATACTATTTGATATAAAAACGTTGCCTTTGTAGAAAGGAAAATATTTCGAGAGTGTAAAAGCAGTAGCGACGCACTTCCAACCTCACGAGTGGAGTTAACACAGTTTAACCATCCAACAAACGAAAGAGATGGCGAAAGTGCTGCGACAAAGTAATGCTACTGGTCACCACCAGCGTCGGAGTAGTCAAGCCAGTCAAACACTCCAGCACAACCGTTTCCTCCAACTATGCACCTACTTCACCAATACTACAGCAACTGCAATTCGATTTGCCCTCGAACCATTCATCAGCGTCAGCTCATTCATGCACTGCTGCTGCCAACTTTGTGGCAACGGCAACGGCAACACAATTTGCTGAACTTTCACTGCTGTTACCACTAACTGCTGCATAATTAAAATGTCCATCCTTATTTATTTATGTACATATGTACATTAATATGTATATGTATACATATGCGTAGACATAAGCATATACATATGTATCTAAATATGTAGCTTTGCTCTTTAATATGAACATAAGTCGGCAACAACCTCAAGCCACACGTTTGCTGCCGGCTTCGCTGTCACTGAACGCAGCGCTGACTTGGCTTTTGACTGGCTTTGGGCGCTGCTTGCCGTTGTGGCCACGGTAGCACGTTATTTGGTCGTAATTACCACAACTCGGACGGCGCTTAGCCACCGTAATACGGCTATAAGGCAAAAGGGATACGCCCCTCGCACATATCGACAAAGCACCAAAAATCCCCGAAACGCATACACATAACCACTTAAAGAAGTTGCTTTGCATTGGTATTGTAGTGTGTGCGTTAAAAGATACTCAATTCGAATTAAAGTGTCTTTTCTACTCTAACTCCAACTCACACCAACATAAATATATGTACGTACTTAACTGTAGTCAATGGAGTGTAAACGTTTATAAACAGTCGCGCGTGCGCATAGTCGAAAAGCACTCCACTGCTCGATGTCCGCTTTGAGTGAGCGCAGTTTGAGCATGCCGAGCGGTTGAGTAAGCGAGCCTGAAATTTAGTGTATTTGCACTGGAGTGCCGACAAGTTGGTTGGTGGTTAATGGTTGATGCCTGTATTGTTGGTGTTGGTGTTGGTGTCTGTTTACCGTACACTGGCCGAATATCACTCTTGAAAGCAGCAACAACATCTGCATCTCATTCGCACATGCAGAGACCAAATTGGCCAAGTGCCAAGAGTACATTTTTGTAATTATTTTTGCCCGCCTGAGCAAGATTCTGCTGCTGGTCTTTTCTTGTTGGAGCTCCGTTTTTGAGCGCAAGTGATGATGTTTTCTATGCCCCTGCTGTTGTTATACCAGTGTACCTACCAACTTACTATGTATGTGTGTATGTGTGTGTCGGCATCTACTTCATTTTACCTTATGTTGAAGGCATTGCTTTTGCTTTTGTTTTTGTTTTTGTGCTTTTATCTTGCATACACACACATGTGTATTGCTGTGCTGTCTTCATTTTTCGAGAATGCCATCGAAAGCGGAGTCTCGAACTTAAAGCGTGCGAAGGTAAAAGCAACAACAATTATTGGAACTGTAGTAGTCCACCAATGAACCAATGAACCAATTACAAAAACAACAAATTTAATGGTAATGCGCTTACGGCGGAGAGAAGTGGAAGGCGGGCGTACCAGTCGAAGCAACAGCCAGTAGGCAACGCCAGCAGCTCCACAAACGCAATAGCAACTGCCACCATCACCAGCACCACTACCAGCAATAGCAACAGCAACAGCAACGGCAACAGCACCATCAGCACGTTTAGCGGCTTGAACGGCTGGGCAACACGATCACCCGACTCATGGGTGTGCGGTCGCAAGGGGCACAAGACGAGAAGCAAGAGGAATGAGTAATAAGAAAAGCAAGGTGATATCACGGCAGAAGCAGAAAGCAGAAGCAGAAGCCGCTCCGCGTTCAACACAGGCAGCTGTTAACTATCAAGCTGAAGTTTCGATCGTAACTTTGCAGTTCACTGTCGCGCACGGAAGCGTTCGGAAGTGAAATATATTTTATTAAATAATATTAAAGCAGTTGTATACCAGAATACGCCTAGCCGAGATCGCGCCGCTTAGCACGCACGCAATATCATCATCATAAAATAATATAACTTGACAAAAGCATACCGCAGTTTTTTCTCAAGGCGAGCGTACATCTTCTTTCCGTTTGCGGTAATAAAATCGGGAAAGTTTTTAAATTGCGTGACTGCGATTAACCAACCGATAAGAAAACAAGTATTTCTATTATTACTTGTTTCGAAATTCGCCGTAACGAAACATTAGTTGTGTGTGGGTTTAAGCGACTTTTTAGAAAATATTAAAATAACGAAAAGCTGTTCAAAGAAACGTGAAAAGGACTTTGAACCGACGGAAAAATCGTATCGACAACTTTACGTTTCTTTTAGCTGCATAATTTCGGTAAGTTTTAACAATTTGAAACTTTTCATTTATTTAAATATATTTATTAATATGTATAATATACAATTTTACAATAATTATTATAATTTACAATTGTACGTTTGTGCGATCACCATTAGTCAGCTACAGTAGCTACTATTGGCTGTCTGCAGCAGTCACTACGCTTACTTGCGCCCACTTCCCATTGGCACACCCATCGGTGTGCGTAATGGCTGGCCAATGGTAGCCGCTACCAATACAGATCACTGCTACTGTTTGCGTTCGTTGTACAGCTGATATTGTATGCGATCGTGTGGCAGCCGAATGCGGCTGTTCATGCCTACAATTATGCATACGTCACGTAAACCACATAAAACACATTAAACAAATCACCGTGCTAGTGACCACATCCAACAGTGGCGACGTCACAAAATCAATACCAGTGCTTACAACAGTTGCCTTTGTTAATGTTGTTGTGTTGGCGACGGCCAAATCGACGTCAAAGCTTCAGCCACTGCTAAAAAGCAAATTGTACCGTCGCACGGTGTGACAATTTTGTTTAAAAAGTTTTATATCGGTTGAAATACATACATACATATTTGAGAAGTATTTGAAGTCAGTCTTTTATTTTGTATATATTATATATGTATTTGTTGTAATAGTGCTTTGACTTTGGTCGAATATATTGACTGAAAGCCTCACATATTGTTTTTTTTTTTTGTTTTTTATGACATAAGAAATATTTTTAAAGGAAATTAATATAATTAATACTAAAGTGATTGAAGATATACAAATATATGTAGTATAAGTATAATTTTTTTTTTGAATTTAGAGTGAATTTGGCTTAATTACCTAATATTAGCTAACTTAGTTAACCAAACATATTGTAATAATGCGCGATATAAGAACTTCAAAACCCGATTTCTTTTATAGAAAAAGTAATAAATATGAAGAAAAAAAATTAATTTTTGCTGAAAAATTTCTCCAAAGTTATTAGACTTAATTATTTTAAATGTGTTTAAGGCATCAGTAGAAAAAATATTTTATTTTAATTTTGTTTTTTACTAATCAATTTATGGCCATAATTTATATATGCGCACATATTCGTTAAATATTACATATTTGAAGTCGTTTTAGTGTTGAGAGCAACCATAATGCATTCCTAATTGTCAATTTTACAATATCTTAATTCACAAAAGGTGTTTGCCACCTCTTAAGTGTGCACTGATTTTGACTTTTCAATAGTCTTTTATCGTCACCTAAACACTGTTCTTATGCACACGCTAATGTAGTTGTAGTTGTCGCTATTGCTGTTGCCACATGTAAGCCAGTAGCTGCCGTACCTTCGGCTACCGGTCTTAAGCACCTCCTTCCCAAGCGATCGTACACGCACGAAGTGGCACCTTAAACGCACTACAACTGGACTTTACAGTTCGGGCTTAGTTAGTCATCGATGACTCGTTGTACTAGCTACTTGATTGGCTGTTGGTGGTTCGGATTTCTGGCGTACAGTGTTAGTCATCTGTGTTGGTATGTAGTAGTCGCCTTGGCTCTAAATTATATATGTATACACTTCCAGTAGCAAAAAAGAAAGGAATGCCTAGTATATGAAAAAACATTTCTTCAGAACACTCTGCGTTGGGCAGCTTCTGTGGATAGCAGGTGAGCTGATTGGTTTGTTCGGCATGTTAGACTGCACTCGCCGTTACGCTCAAATAGATCGCTCAATTTGTTACGCTCACAACGCACCGCCATGCACGTACATATGTATATGCGCGTATATATATACACACACTCGCAACAAAGAACTCTCACTCAATTCGGTAGTTGACGACGCACTGGCACAGCGCAGCGCGGCGCACTGCAGCGCATCGCATTGAATTTGGCTTCGTACCGCATTGCAGGGCAGCGCAGCGCAGCGCTTGACAGCACAGGCCAACAAGCCAACAAGCGAGCGAGCAGTCGCAGCAGCAAATGAAGCAGTTGGCCTGCAACGTCGGTACTTTCGCACCAAATTGTAAGTAGGTAGTAGCGTATCTCATTGAAGAAGTCATCTTCGTGCCTTACCGACGTGCTTGCTCCACAGACCGTAATCTGTAGCAGAGCAGTAAGCAACCGTTTATTTTCGTCTCGCAGTTAGTCAAATTGCATCGTCGCACGCGTACAATACAACAAACGCTTACGCGTAGATATACAATAATTGCAGTTCATAAATTTATCTGTGCATACTCTACCAAAGTGTTAACTAGTTTGCAACTTTAAGTTGAATCGCCTTGTTATTGAATTTAGTTATTTTACAAAGTATATTTGTACATTCGAACGCGTTTATTGTGCTTGTGAATTTCGAGAACTCGCCGTTTGATTGAGCAACAGTTTTCACTGGGTAAGTGATACGAAATAAGTTTCAATCTAATCTGTTAAGTAGCACTCTTGCTATCTATGGTACCCAAGCGCGACCGCAGCCATTACAGCGCCTCTCTTTGCACATGCGCGACAATAAAACGCCACTGTCTCAGCGCAACATTCGGCTTAATCGGGTGGTTCGGCAAATCTATGTACACCCAGCCGCAATGGCACGACTTCTGTGTTACGCCACCATTGCTTACATTCCACTTACATATCCATACATACGTACGCTTTTTGTTGTAGCGCTTTTTTGTTGCTGCCTCAACATTCTCCATTGAGGCTGGTTGCGGTTAGATTGCGTTCTGTTCGTGCTGCTTCGTTTTGTGTAAACAGTAGCCGGCCATGTGGCCATGTTGTCGTCCGTGTTGTTCTAACAGTGCGCTCTTCCGACAATCGTTGCATATACACTTGTATATACAAATGTAGAATGTGTTTTGCCGTTGGCCGCTTATGTTGGCGCTACCAGTTTTACGCACTCTTATTGGTGAATCCCCTTAAGTTTGTGTTGTTTGCGTTGTTTATGTGCGTGTGTGTGTAATTCTTGGTCATTGTGGGGCTGAAGTGTTCCCTAGCGCTGGCTCGTTCTTGCTTGTATATTTTATGGGGTTCTATATACATACATACATACGTTCATATATCTGCGTTCATTGGTATGCGCTTACAAATGTGGAGAAAAGGGTTATGTGATGGTTTTTTTATTTGCGAAATCTAAAATTGGTTGATGAAAGTTGTACATATTTTGTATTTTGTTATGAATAATGAATGAAAATTATTAAGACTTATCCGTGTATATACTTGTATATATATTATATATAGTATGTACGTGTATTAATTGCTGACTTAATGAAATCAGAAAGAAAATATTAGACAAAATAAATAGTTGAGATTTAAAAGTATATAAAGTAAACAAATTAATTAAATTTTCAAGCTAATAAACTTCTTAGAATTTGGAAAACTTTTTAATTGTGTAAGCTAATATTTTTGCTAAGAAGGTCTTTAAAATACACTAGAAAACATGTTTTTAGTTGAGTGAAATAATATACTATATATGTACATATACATACATTTAGCTATTTTAAAGCTGTTGTACTAAAATTAAATGTGTGCAATTATATATACTTAACTCGATTTGTAATAAAATGGAAATTAGTGTGAATAATATTAATTTTATAATATCAATTGGACTAATTAAATGTAAACAATTATATATAACTCTATTTAAAACGGCTATTAATGCGGATAATATTATATTAATTATATAATATCAACTCTTAACAATACTAAATTATTATTGTTTGTGTTTGCAACTACTGAAATCTTAATAAAATTTACGTAAAATTGAAAATTGAAATTTGAAACAAGAAAACACGTTAACTTTGGCTGCACCGTAGTTATAATATGCTTCACAAGTGCATTTATTATAGCATAAAAGGTTATAAAAAGACAATTACATATTTTAATTTTAAGCGTTCAGTTTGTTTGTCAGCTATATACATACTATAGTGGTCCGACATCGGTAATTCCGACAAATGAGCAGCTTCTTGCGGAGAAAAAAACATATGCATAATTTCATATCAAACACTGAGATACTATTTCGAATATATACAGACGAATAGACAGACGGACATGGCTAATCAGTTATATATGTATATACTTTATAGGGTCTCTGATGTTACCTTCTGCGTGCTACAAACATCGTGGCATACTTAATATATCATGTTCAGTGTAAGAAAATATTCTTGAAACCAAGATGGTTTCGAATAATAGACAAGTTTGAAAGACAAGGCCAAAGCAACTTGGGTTAGGAAGTTACACAAATAGTGCGTAATATATGTATACTTATATATATATATATAACTTCTACAATATACAGATAACATTGACGTGCTTAAATTGTAACAAAACATTAAAAATTGTTACAAAGTTCTTGTTTAGTTTACATTCTGAAATGGTTATCTAAAATTTTGATTCTAATTTGCTGAGTGTTTTTTCAATTACATATTCTTTGAATTGTCTTTTAAGCTAATAATTGATTCATATTCAGATTTATAGTATTTGACGAGCCTCTTTATTCAAAAACAAAAAATAAAAATAAAAAAATAAAAAAAAAAATAAAAAAAACAATAATCTGTCAGTTTAATAATTGCGCTTCACCGTTTTGGCAAGCGCGGCCCCTCCCTCCGTTTTCCTAACAAAATGCACATTTTTGCAGTGTTTTCGACTACTTGCATGTGTCACATCGCATTGTTGGCATTGATGGTTCAAAAACGACTTAAGCGGCACATGAAAATCACCGATGATAATTATCTAGTAATGACTCGGTATGTACGGACATATAAACATACAAACACGTGTGCAACATCCTTAATAATGTATTATCTGCTCGACTTCGTTGCAGTTTCTTTGTTAAGCACTTTCTTCCAATTATAAACGCCGCTTTGTGCGCCGAAGATTTTTGTTTGTTACACATCATTTCTTCTACTCCATTGTTTTCTGTTTAATCCCGCAATTCTAATTGTTGGTCGCATAAATACCTAAACACACATATACATACACACATACATAAATGGGTGTTTTACTTGGAATTTCGGGCCATTAGTACAATTAGATTCGATTCAGTTGGAAATCGTAACGAAGCAGCCGAGGCTGGACGAGGTGCGTGTGTCGGCCCTTTGTGTTTTCTCGCCTCGCTTATTGGCATTTTTTACATTAAATGCCACCTTGCCACCGCTGTCCGCCCTCATTTCATTCAATGCCACAATTGTCCGTCCACTCAGGCTGCCTTAAGCCAGGTTTATGCGGTTGCAAGCGCAAGTGACACAAACAAGCTACAACAAGCCGTCAGCATTTTACTCCACAATCCACTTCGCACCGCCTCAATTTTTATCGGCTCAATGGTGTTAAAGTGTAACTTTTTTTGATTCCTGGAAAACTTAAACATAACCTCAGCGTATTAGTAGAGTTAATGCACAAGGGAGCGAAAAAAACAAAACAATCCTGAAAAAGACAAATACAAATCTGGAAGGTGTCGAAGGTGTCAGGCAGGGGGACCTGTGGACCAGTTGACTGAACAGCGTGGTTTTGCGGGGTGCGGTGACGTTGACCGCATTTTGTCGCTTGTTGCAACAACTCAGGATGACGATAAGAATGGTTGCGATACAGCGGCCGCCAAGTACGTTGAAAGGATGAACAAGATTCTGGGCGATCTGCGGTGAATTCAGTGTAAATCTAATTTCACGCGGCATTAACGCTTCTCGATCTTGCATCTTTTTGTTGCAGATCACTTTTTATGCATTTCGCCCGTTGCATATTTGCATTTTACATTCAGCATTTTTGGTTCACGTTACGCTGCTCGATCACTAACTCGCTCATCCTGTAAACTGTGACACAGCGTGTGTGCAATATTTAATGGATTTTCCAGCAGCGACCGAAGCCAAGACAGAAGGTGTAGAGCGGCCAGCGAGCGCGTATGGCAAACACAGTAAGCCAGGTAGGACGCAGGGCCAAAAGCAATAAAATCAATGACAACTAAACATGAAAATATTTTGCGCACAAATATCAACAGATAATGCATTTCGCTACGAAGCGTTGTCTAACATAAGTAGACACACACGCCTGTCCATCACTCAGGCTCGCTGCGCGGCGAAAGGGCCATTTCTCCGGGGCTGGCAATCAGCAACAGCGCTATGTGTACAAAACACTAATTATTTGCACTGGGATTAATGAGATTAACACAGCGTTGAGCGTTGCATTATTATACAACACATATGTACATACATATATATGAGTACGCACCATATTAGCATATGTGTGTTGGCATGCTTAAGGACACTGGCGGTGTTGTGTTGTTGGGCCCACAGTTGTACACCTTATGTCAAGTAGTGGGCTACCACATGTGTTCAAACGCTGTGTAGGCAGCGTGTGTGGCATGCAACGTGTGGTTCGGTTTGCTGTAATCATAAAATGCAGCAGTGACAGCGGTGGTGGCAGCAGCCTTCACCGCAATCACTAATCGGATTTTGGGCAAAGTGTGCATAAACACTGAACCCATTTGCATTGGCACTGCTCTTGGGAGACAAGCAACGTACACGTTTCGCACATTCGCACGCTCTTGGTTTTGACTCTTTGCCACAAAAGCCGTTGCAGTTGAAGGCATTAAAAATCAAGTGTGGATTTAAGACACTTTGGTCTTTTGATTGGTGTTGCTCACATAGTATTATTTGCGGATTTAAATTTGGTGTTTGGAAAATCCGTTTTCGTAAAAGTGCAAATCCATTTTATGTTTTGTAAATATTTATATGTTAAACTGTGATCTAGCTGGTCCTATTGTGAATTCAACGTGCTTGTTTATAGATGATGGGATTAAATGCTATAGCTTTGGTTTTGTAAGAAGCAGTTTATGGCAAAAATGGTTAAAGTCGCTTGAAAACCAAAATACTAAATCTTAAAGTCCACTAGTATATTCGCAAATACCCCACTTTTTCGATTTTTTACCTTTAAAAGTGTGTATTAAGTTTGCCCAGAAGTTTAAAGAACTTAAAAGGAAACGTTGCAGACTCTATGAAGTGTATATATCAACGATAAGTGTGACGAGTTGAGTCGATGTGGCTCCATGTGTAATAAGCGGACTAATCCCTCAGTTTTTGAGATATCAATCTGAAGTTTTGCAGACATTCTTACTTAGAGGAGCTGTTGATTTGTCGAAACTGTCGAAATCGTACCACTGTCGGATATACAAGTAGTTGCCATACAAACTGATCGATCAAAATCAAAATCTTGTATGGAAAACTTTTTTATTTGACAGAGTACTAGAGTATTAGTGTTAGTTTAATGAAAGTTCACATTTTTATTCGGACCAACACTATAATCTCCGAAAAAGTTTTTTCGATTGTATTACTATAGGCTGTAGCTGTCATAAAAATTAACCGTTGAAAATCACGATAAACATCTTTTTATAACTTTATATGTTTTAAAAAATATGCACCTGTAAAAGGTATTATAGCTTGGGTGTAGCCGAAGTTAACGATTTTTCTTGGTTTTTTTGTTTTGTTTTGAGTTTGCAGTGGCGGTGGCTTGGATGTTAAAAGTATTAAATATAAACTCAATTGATTTGAAAAGGGAATATGGTTAAAATATGCGGTGAATACAATTAAATTAAAAGGATTGAGTGCTTAATAATGCAGTAGTAGGTATGGAAAACATTAGAAATTTTAAAATAGCTAATTAGTCGTTGGTATTTACTCGCGGTGGCAGTTCGTTTAACTACCGCGGCACCACCTCTATTAAGAAAGTTTTCAAATTTACATAATCTACACTAATTTTTTAATAGTTTCGCCTAACTACTTTAGGAGCTCACTCCCGATTTTTCATTTCGCTTTACAACCCAGTTCGTGCGGACCAATTTTAATAGTTGCATACGAGCCTACCTTCACCTGTAATTTGAGCGTTTCACTTGCAACCTACACCTTAATTGGAAACAACAAAAAGAACCACTGTGCTACTCAAAAGGAATAGGAAAAACTTTGTACTAAAGTGCCGCATTGCCGCCATAAAATAAAAATAATATATACATACATATAAATAATAAAATAGTAGTCAAATAAGCAAAGTAGAGGGAGTAGCCATAAACAATAAACATCTCAAACAAATAAAATGGAAATATGAAATGAAAAAGAAGCATAAAGTTATGCGAGCACTCACACAGGCATATGTATGTACCTATATATATGTATGCATGTTAGCATTTATGTATGCTTATAACTATGAATGTGAAGTGGCCTTTAATAGCAGGGCGCCCGCTTGGTAATAAGTTGCATGATTAACGGCGACAAAATGCCAATGTGACGCCACATTGTGTACACAAAATTATGAATGGCATAGTTGGGACCACTTACCACATAGTTGGGCCACAGCACCACTACACACTTATTAACTATGCATACACATATGTATGTGCACACATGAGTGGGTATTCCTTGAAATAGCGCAGCTATTCTACGTCAGCGCGGGTGCGTGTCTCCAAAAGTGTGCGTGTGGTTGTGTGCACACGCTCCAGTTGAGACCTTGGTCAGCAGCTCAAAGCAGCCAAGTCAGAGTCGCTTTTATTTTGTGGACATTAATATTGTAATAACAATAAGCGACACAGCGCCAGAGGTCAATTTCGTTTGAGAAAAGGTTGGCTTTTATGCGCGCGGCGAGCAGAGCGCGGCTAACTGCTTTAGCTGCCGCAAACACATGCATATGCCGCCTGTTGCCAAACAAGCTCCAACTTCAATGCCAACGATTTGCTATGGCTATTGTGGTGACACTGGCGTCTGTGCTGGCGCTATTCGGGGTTGTGGTGGTGGCAGCGGTGGTGGCGACGATGGCGTTAGTGACGTGCTTTTGTATACATTGTGGGAGCGCTGTGATTTTCGTGCTTCAGATATTTTTATTTATTCATAATTTTGTTCTTACTGTTTTTTCCATATTTTATTAATATTTTTTTGTTGTTGCTTGCTTGCTTAAGGGTCTGCATGCGCCATTTTTCATTTACTGGTTTCTTTGTTGCTGCTGATTTTCGGGAAGCACTCCCCGCTGTGGTCTAAAAACAACGTCACTTTTACCATTCAATGCGACAAAAACAAAAACAAATACAAAAGGTAAATTGAAGCGAACAAAACAGCAGCGGCAATTTAGCGCAAAGTTAGCGGCTCCAACAGCTAAAGGCAGTCAACGCGCTTTACACCCAGCTGTGCGAAGCTTATAAATTCGTTGAAGTCACATTGGACGCGCTCCTTCAGCACCAAGTGTCACTGTGTTGCACCTTTTGAGCTTTGGTGTGTGAATTGTTTTACGTGACACACACACACACACATGTGCATGCATACATGAAGGAGTTCGCTTGTTTTTTTTTTTTTTTGCTTTTATTTCTACACTTTATCATTTTATTTGCTGCTGAGGCTTCTGAGTGGCGCTCAAGCGCCAAAATCAGCTTAATCCACACATTTCGATATGGTATATGCGCATGCGCCGCTTTTATTTGCATCATTTTATTATATGACATGCCTTATACCTTTATAAGTGGATATTTCTATATGAGTATTACATTTCATATCATATCATTTAAAACAATGGCATTGAATGCCGCATTCGGCGATATCCAGCGGCGTGGCGACTAAATAAAATCAAGTAAAGACAAAGAATGTCTGACTACTGCTGGCTCGATTGCAATTTACGAGCGAAACGCTGCGGTGTTGGGTGTTTGTGGTAGTTGCGGTGGCGATAGCGGTGACCGCTGATGGCTGCTGTTGGCAATGGTTACCGTTAATATTTACATTAACGCTGCCACTGCGCATATATGCATGTTTTTCGGAGCGCGGGGCGTTGCAGGCCAGCAATTTCACACATGCAATAATGCATATGCTGAACTGGTGTTTGGCGTGGTAATGCGGCAGCAACAACAGCAACACTTGTAATATGCTAAAGGACATTGAAATTGTGTATTTAACGCCCTCACGTTTCTAGAAACATGCATGCAATGCAAAAAACATATCCACACACATGCGCACAATTACATAAAATTTTTATGCTTGGCTACTTTTTATGCACAATACCAGCAATTAATAATTACAGTTCCATTAAACCGTTGAGAAAATGTTATTAACTTAATGAATCTGCGCTTTTGCGCATTTTATTTATTCGCAGCAGGTGTGAACTCAGCAAACTTAAAACTTAACTTAAAGAGGGGAGGTCAGCATGTGAGCTCTACACTTCCCATTAACAACAAAATATTTATGCAAATTCGCGCACGGCTGCTTGACAGTCTTGAGACTTTTGTGGGTGTTTTGATTTATCTTTTGTCTAAAACAATGCGTTCATTTACCGTTGTGTGTGAAAAATAAAGTTTTTATGAGCTTTATTTAGCAATGTTAGTGTTGCAATTAAGCATTGCATTCGTGGAAAATCGAAATTTTCACTTTTGATTCTTTATATACCCTGAATAGGCCATAATAAGCTTGCCTCAAAGTTTGTAACAGCTTGAAGAATACGCCGGAGAACCTGCAAAATATATACATATCTGTACATATATAACTGATCAGAGTGACGCGCTGAGTCGTTTTAGCCATGCCCGCCTGTCTATCCATCGGTCCACCTGTCCGTCTGAACTAGTCCCTCAGTTTTTTAGATATCGATCTGAAATTTTGCTGAAGTCCTTTTCTCCCCAAGAAGCTGCTCATTTGTCGGCATCGCCGATATCGGGCTACTATAGCATGTAGTTGCCATACAAACCAACCGATCAACCGCAAAATAAAAAAGTTTTCATACTTTTTTATGAAGCGAAGCTAATGTTGTTTTTCTCATGAAAACTATGCACATATACATATCATAATGATAGTGTAACCTAAAACGACATTAATCGAATTCAATATAAGTATTTGAAAGTAAAAGCAGTTAGTCAATGAAAATTACTGTACATAAATGACGCATCATGTGGTTGGTTTTTTCAAAGGTCTGCAGACTTGCCACGGTGACTAGGCGAACAAACTGCCGAAATAGCATTCACACTAAAATAAAATAGTATATGCGTATTTTCATGTAAGTATGTCTGCATATATGTATATAGATACATACTTAAGCAAATACAAGGCTGACTCATTGCAACCAGCTACCAGCAGTTAGTTTTAGCTCACTTATAGCTGACCTATTGAGTTTTTATGATTTACATACATAAATAGGTATGCATATAAAGCCCACATATGTGTGTGTGTGTTGCTTAATGCTAATTTTCATATCAGAGACACAAATCAAATGTTGCGGTTTTATTGACTTGAAAGCGTCAAAATTTAAAATTCGATAGTCAGTGTTTTTGGGGATTTATATCAAGTTTTCACGAGGTAACATATATATATACATATGTATATGTAGAAATTTAGTGCTTGTGACGTTACTAACGATGGTAAGCGCTGCTTCGGTTAGCATTTTTAAATTATATAATAACAAATTTTTTTATACAAAAATATGTGTACTCGTATACACATGTGTGTACATATGTAAAATATTTTTTTTTTTAATATGTGCAATGGAAGGCTTCTTATACACATATTTAAATACATATATACGAGTATAACTGTTAAGTGAAATTCGCTATTCTGAACTTTCGCTTGCTTTGTGTATGCATAAGCAATTTCACATATGGTACATACATACACATACACACATATGTATGCATGCCAGCTAACACGGCTGGATCTCCGTTTCGCTTTTATTTTTGATTTGCACACGGTTATCACGTGTGTTGTTTTTGTTTTTGTTTTCCACCGCCAACGAGAAGGCGTTGCTAATGTCTTTTGTGTTCCATTTTTATTGATAGCACAGTTTAATATCTACCATTTTATTATGTACTATTTTTCCATATTTACTTTATTGTGTTGTTGTATTTTGTCTTTGTAGAATTCCGTCATAAAAGAATCAGCCCACCACCGCCAACGAAAACGCCTACATACAACCACACAACACACCAGTAACAGTCGCATGCACGTGTAGTGGTTTCAACGCTTAGTAGTGTGCGTGGAAAAAACAACAACAAAGTTTAAATATTATTATACAACGTTAGCGAAGGTGTTAGACCAACAGCTGAAAAGCACTAATAACAGCGCGCCAACAAATATTAACGACAACGTTCATCATAAAAAGTAGCAACAAAAAGTGTGTAAACAACTACTAAAACAACCAACGAAACAACTACAAATTAAGTGCGCATACAGTACACACGTCTGGTCGTGAAGTAAAGTGTCAAAGCGAAGCGATTTAAATCACTTCGCCGCCACCAACGCACCGACATACAAACCATATCCACAACGAAAACACAAACGAAATAACAGCGCAACGTCGCCTTCGTTGAAAACCGTTTCACATACAGTCCACCCTCCACAAGGAAAGCGCCCAGCGTTATTACTGTTATCGGCCGCGATTGCACGCATACAGCAACACCACGCAGCACCAATACGAGCGCACCAAAAGCAGCCGAAACATTTACAGCTACACCAACACACTGCAACGCTGTCCGACTAGTAGTAAATAAGTGAGCGCAACGATAACTAATACGCTCGTAATTAACGCGCACTCAGCCAGCAGTCAACGCGCCACACGTCGCGCTATCAGTTGATTTGTTCGTTTAAGCACCGCGTGTCATACGCCGCACGTCGCGCATCGTCGACTACTCGTGTTGTCGCTCCAGCATTAGCGAGTGCAACGTCGACTCCCCCGCCTTTAGGCTAATAACGGTGATATTCACTACTTGCTTTAATTATTGTCAGCGTTGAGTGAGATTGCGCTTTGTCTAAGCGTTAAAGTAGCTGTAACGGTGCTATTGGGGAGCGTGAGCGTAATAAGAAAGTCGAGTGCACACATACACACGCATAGGCGCTTAGCTGAAAAATAAAACGACACATAGGCACACACACACAAGTGCAGACACAGCAGCAGCAGCAGCAGCAGCAGTAATAGCAATAGCAACAGCGAAGCCAAAAGCAACGACAAAATGTTCGCTGTAATGAGAATCGACAACGATGACTGCCGGTCGGATTTCCGCCGCAAGATGCGTCCAAAGTGTGAGTTCATTTGCAAGTATTGCCAGCGGCGTTTCACCAAACCTTACAATCTGATGATTCACGAGCGCACCCACAAATCACCCGAAATAACGTACTCCTGCGAGGTCTGCGGCAAATACTTCAAGCAACGCGACAACCTGCGTCAACACAGGTGAGTGACAACATATTCAATTAAGCATCAGTCAAAAAATACCTCAACTGGCGAGAAAAAAATCAATAAGCAAAAAATATGTTAAGAAAAATCCCCAAAAATTGCTACATACGAGTTATAGTTAATAAACAGTTGCAAGAATTCAAGTCTCGAAGATCTCAACTAAACAAGTGAGTGTATATAATTTTAGTTTGCCGACGCTTAGCAGCAAGTAGAGGAAGTTCAGTAAAGTCTAGCTGTCAATAGCAATTTGCTGGACCTCAGTGTATATAATAGTAAAGACATATCCAAATTATTGTCGCACAAGGTGTGAAATTCACGCGTGAAAATGTGCAGTGCAAACTTTTCTACTTATCATGAAATGTATTAAACTCAAAAAGTGACGCATAATGTGGAGCTTAACGCTTAGTGGGAAAATCTACTATTTATTCTGAAATTGTTTTAGATTTTACGAAAGCGTGAATTTCATGAGTTCGCAAACACACTTAAAATTAAATGTAAATACTCATAAGTAGTAAATACATAGTGGGTACATAATTGTAGTGTGAAAAATAATGCATTTCTTTAGAAGAAATTTAGCAGAAAACATTTAGAAACACAAGTTGCGTTTTAACACTAGAATTACGAAGATTTACCATATACTTATTTCAAATAGGTCTCTCTCTCTCTGGAAATTAGAAGCGTAAGAACAAAATACAATATAACATTCTATTCTATACAGCATTACTGACTGTGAAAGATGATTACTTAAAGTAGCGATTTTCATCTGCATTTTTCTCCAAAGTAAAAAGTCCTCTACTGCTGCTATGATTTCGGCCTTCCCCGTAGATGAAACCTACAAATAAAATTCTCGATTAGAAGATATTGTCCGTACAATAACCTATGGTCAAAAAAAAACTTTTTTTTAAATAACAATATAGCGGTGTTTTAAAAAAGTTGAATTTTTCTTAAAATTTTGTTCAGTTTTAGCATATTGACACATCACATCAAAAACTGGTAGATCATTATATGGATATATAGAACGTACAAAACATGAAAATTTTCACTTAAGCAAATTTGAAAAATATGGTTTTGAAAAATACGCGTTTAAATAGAACAACCAACTTAAGTTGAACAGAGAGGCTACACTTTAGAAGGCTCTCGAAAACTATTTGTGATATCGATTTAAAATTTTAGTATGTTATTTGTAAAAGTATAACCCAAGGAAAATAATCGATTTATTAAAAATGGATACTAGTTGTGCGCCTTAATGAGTATTTGTCTTCCCACCGACGTTAGATTTTAATTTTGGCTGAAAATTTTGCACAGATTATTTTAGCACAATTTTCACATAATTTTCACGTGTGTACATATGTATATTTATATTACATAAAAAATACTATAAAATGTATGTTAGTATAAAATTGTTGCGTTTAAAATATAGAAAAAAAAACAAGAAAAATGTTAACTTCGGTTGCACGGCAGCTATAGTATTCTTTACAAATATGTTACAAAATATTTCTTAGAAAAACTTGATTTTGATCGGTCAGTTTGTATGGCTATGCTATATGCTATAGTGGCTCGATGTGAGCAATTGCTTCAGAGATGGCACCATTGCCTTAGCCAATAATTCATGCCGAATTTCGTGACGACATCCTGCCACATAAAAGGGTTGCCAAAAAAGTACTCGATTTCGTTCGTTTAGTTTTTATGTCAGTTTTATGTGATAATGTTCCTATATAGGCGGTTTCAACAAATGAGCAGCTTCTTGAGGAGAAAAAGATGTGTGTAAAATCAGATCGATGTCTCAAAAACTGAGTGGCTAGTTCACGTATATACAGACGGGCATGGATAAAACGTTACAGACTACATGGCATACTTAATCAATTTAATCTGTTCAGGGTATGAAAATGGAAGTGCTTTGCTTATTGCATTTTTTCTTGTCTAGTTATTTAATGCTATTTGCTAATTAGTACTTTTAATTTTTAACGTGCACTATATATATTGTATATACTTATATATTTTTTATTTATTTACTCATTTAATGAGGTACACCTATGTGTATTTATAGAAATTAGTCTGTATATACGTAAGTTTATTTGTATTTTTTACAATCGAGACCATATAACTTATATCTATGGCTTGAGCAGATAAAGATTCTTTGCTTATAAATATAAATAAATTTGCTTGCACCTACACATACATACAATCATACATCCATACATACATACATATATATGAACATATAAACTTTCTATGGCTGACGGTTATTTGGTTTCGATTGTCTTTTATTCGCCAATATTTATTTATAGTGTGCATACTATGTAAAATTATTCTATGCCTAAATATTTGCTAAGTAACAGATTCTCAATATATGTTTCTGTTTTCTATTTGCTCTATTTGTAGATGTAGTCAATGTGTATGGCGATAAACAGCAAACGCCAGCTCAAACTTAAGCACTTCTTCTCTCATGCACTTAAATTAAAAACGCTAAAGCGAAAAAGCAAAAACGTGAAACAGTATATATAAATATGACATACCTATATAAATCACCTAAAACCCAGCTATAAAAAGCAAGCAAAAATGTTGCACACACGCACGCCCATAACGGTACGCTCTTACCACCACTTGCACTTTGCACGCATACAAAAACAACAGCAGCAATAATTTGGCAAAATATTTAAATAAGTAATAATAAAGTGAAGCAGACTTTGCACTGCAAACGCTCATGGCGCGGCGCTGCAATCGGTCTTCATGTGGTGGCTCTTGCTCTCGGCATTGTTGGTGAACGGGGTGTTTGGTGTGTTGGAAATGTTTGAAATGAACTTGTGGTGATTGGTTTTATTGACGGCGGCAGAATAAGTGCAGCTTCCATAAACGGACCATCAATGCAAGTAAATTTGTAAATACATACATACATATATATATGCGCTTGCTTGCGCGTCAACTAAATTTTCCATAATTACTGGCAGTTTGGTGAGTGGTGAAACAACTCTTTTCACACACATTATATTATAAGCACAATTTCATAGCACTCATTGCATTTCGCACTTGGAAAAATGGCAAATATTGCACACATACACACACATTCATCACATTATAAGCACTTCCACAACTGTATATAAACATCTATACATTGTAATGTATATGAAAAGCACAAAGTTCATCAGCATTCGAGCTCCTTCATTGCGTACACGCTGTGTGGCACTCAAGACGCAAGGACGCTTCGAATGTTTCCATAAAAATATACATACATACAAGCAGTCACGCAATAATCCATCAAAATAAGAAGTGAACTGCATTACAGAAATATATATATGTATATATATCTATATATATATACGAGTACATATGTGTAAATCTGTTTTTTGTTTTGCTATAGAAGTATGCACATGGATACTTGCGGACGCATTTACTAAACAAGCAAACAAAACTCGCGGAAACTCCAAAACAACTCATATACATATGTATGCGTTAAAGCTCTACAATGAAAGCGCACCCAATGCTTGAACTAATTACCCAACTGGAATAACAGTAGATAAGTAAGTACCAACAGTACGCCACATAGATCCACCCAAGAGCCGCGGACGTGCGCCAATAGTCACCCAACTGCCTTCGATTCAATTAACTGCAGCCAATAACAACAATAACAACAACAACAACGTCGCCGTCATCTGCGGCGCTGGCCAAAAAGCGCAATTAAGCGACGACTTTTTGCGTTTTTTAACTTCAGCGTCACGCAGCGCATCTCAAATCGAGCGCCGAACGAAGAAGCAGCAGCAAAACGCAGAAATCTTTGCTTGTCACAAACCACCATGCATGAGTCATGAGCGCACAACAATCTTTGCAGTCAACTTTTCAACTTCACATACAAGCATACACACACGCACACACACTCACTTACACCAGCAAATAGTTTCGAACGTGCAATGTCAGCAAATCAGCGTTGTCCAGTGCCCCAACAGGAGTGCCTGCTGTGTCTTCAAGCTGCAGCGGGCGCACAGCGTAGTCTATTTAGCAGCCGTAGGCGCAACCAATGCAAGCGCGCACACGCGTAAACACCTATCCAGTTCTTGCAGTTCTGCGCGCATGCCCACGCGTCCGCAGAAACGCATCGTGTTGCAACAACTACCACTGGTGCGCTCCTTCAGCTAATTGTGCACTGTGTCTGTGCTGCGTTTATGTAATTTCGTCAACAGTAATTATTATTATTATATTATATTTTTTTATTACTTTATTACTTGTCTTTGGTTTGTTATAAAAATGCGAATTTCCTTGTTAAACAAATTCTCTTCTCTGCGTACGCTTTTAAGCTTTCTTCTATATATTTAAGCGCTTGTTTATTATTTTTCTAATTTCAAAAAACAAAAAAAAAACAAAGCATTTAATTAAACTAATTTAATAAAGTATTGAATTTTGTCGGTTTCGATTTCGTTTAAGCTTTTAATATAAATGAGAAAGAAATGTGCACTATTCAAGTAACGATTATGTATGTAGTGGTAATGCGATGCCTATTAAATATGTAAGCATTTTGAAGCGTTTGCATGCAGTCTCCTACTTGCCGCTCGCCCTGTGCGCCGTGCCCCACGATTCTCTTGAATTGTCTCCACATTTAAGACTTATCTCGTGGAAATTACGAGTATTATAGACATGAAATAATTATTTACTAATATATATACACACACACACACACACAATAAACACATGCATACAAGAATTAAGTTATATGAAAAATGAAGTAAAGCGAAAGGGAAAATGTTAAACGCAGTGAGAATTGTAAACGAACGAATTGTGAACGCAAATGCTTTCGGTATGTTGCAATAAGATTGTATGTACATGTCTTGCGTACATTTAATTTTAAAATGTTTATTTGATTTTCATTATTTATACTATATTATTATACAATGTATTACGTATTACGATGGCTTACCAATTCCATATGATGAAACAAAACAAAAACAAAATTAATTATATATATTTTTTAATTAATTGATAATTAATTGCAGACTATCAGTTGAATGAATTCCTTAATTAAATATAATTAATTAATAAATTACTTATAATAAATAATAAATAAAATATTAAAAATAATGTTGTTTTTTATTGTAGTTGCTTATACGAGTAGTTCTTTCAGGTTGGCAAATTTAGTATTCAACAATATGCATACATACAACGGGTCCACCAACAAGAACGACGTGATGTTCAAATGAAATAAAACACTCAAACTAGCTTCAGTTTCTTTATTATGCAGATAATTTTATGCTCTTTTATGCACAAAGTGTCGGTCCATTAGTTTTTTCCAAAATTGCTAGGAACATAGCGCCTCAATACAAAACCAGCAACAATAGACCGTACTGAGGGAAGTAGTTGATCATGAAACAAAATTTGGCCACACTGTTCAATAACGTATCTGGCACAATAAACTCAGAGTTTCGTAATGACCACATTGGGAATAATTGCTAACCTTAAAGTCGAGTTTATGAAAAAAGAATATTTGAGAGCCTATTTGGGACGTGCACCCACCCGTATACAGTGTAACATTCCCAAGTAGAAAACATCAAAAAATGTAGTGCGCTGAGACTTTAGTAAAATACTTGCTAAGAGTAGTAAACGTGTCAATTTCGGAACACTTTTATTATCTTTTTAGGTATGTATTACAACTGTGATGTTAGCCAGTAATAGGGCTTGCATGAAATATACCTTATATTGTACATATATACATACTAAAGAAAAGAAATCCACAATTGTTTCTTTAATTTAATAGAATATTTTATTTAGTATAGTTAGAATAAACCGATTTGGTTCAAATATACACAGTTTTGCTCATGAACCGAATTTTTCAACAATAAAATCATTTGCCAGGTATAGGTTGTAACCACTTGGTGCCAGATCCACACTTTAAGCTGGATGCATAAAAACTTCCAACCAAGCTGCTGAAGCTTCTGGCAAGTCACTATCGGTTTTTGTCGGCTGGCGTTGTTCTAATGGAACACAATTCGTCTCCTACTGGCCAAAGCTGGATGCCTCTAGGCGCTTTCTACCTGCAGGCTGTCTAATTGTTGACCGTATGGATCCGAATTAAGAGTTTGCTAGTAAGGGAGTAGCTCATAGTAGAAGATTCCCTGTCATTCCCACTAATCACATAGCAAAACGCTCCCGTCAATTTATCAATATTTTCGACAGTTTGTCTTCCAGAGCTACTAAATTTTTACTGCTCATACAAGTATATGAATTATGCCCATGCACTTTGCTATTTACTTTATTATTAATATCTTTACACATTTTGCTGAGGCAGTTCTCAGGGGGTTGGCTAACGCAACAGTGGTCACTTGCACTTGAAAACATCATGCCAAACGGGAAAGTATACTTCTGTATGCAGGCATATAAAAAATATGTGAATACACACTTACGTATCTGTGTAAATGAACATGGTCGTGGGCCAGGCAAGCGGCTACGTAATGAAGCAGTTTCCAAATGCGAAACGAATGAATTTGGCTACCGTTTGCGTATTGCTGCGCTACAAACGATGCGCATGCGCACACAAACATAGCGTTTACTTGGACAATTTATCTGTACGAACTGGTGTATATATTTGGTTGAAAGTGTTTGCTGTGCCACCCGTGCGTTCACAGTATTTTGTCGACGTGCGCGCATGCTCCACATGCCAACGCCACGCCGGCAGATTTCCTCCCTCCTGCGGTTAATATGCCAAACAATTTCGATGCGCAGAGATGCGCAAAGTCAGGTAGGAAGGCGAAAATTACTGTTAGCGTGTAACTCAGTTTCTGACCACATACATACAAATGCGTGTGCAGATGTGTGTTGCCATAATATTTGTTGTTGCTATTTTCGGTCGCTTGCCGCATATGAACTAAATTGGCACGTGTGGTTTTCCAGCGAAGTGAAGGCGAAGCAGCAATAAACCCAAGCATAGACGTAATGCTGGCAGTTGGGCCGCCCCCTGAGCAGATGAATTGCGTCGCACATATTTCTCGACCAAGCAACGGCAAGGGGCTGGCAGAGATTTGTGTCAGTTGCCTTTGTGCTGCACACTGCCACTGTGGCATGTGGCGAGTCAGTGGCAACACAGCGCGGTACGCAGCCGTCCGAAGGAATTAAACTAAATGCTCTTTTCGCGCGCAGTTGGTGTTGGCCGTCGCCGCCGTCTCACCACTGTTGTGGCCAAAAGGATATGGTGGCTGTGGATGCACAGTGTGAGTCCTGTAGGTGCACACATACATTTTGAGCAATTCTTTGCAAACACACAATCGACAGTCAACGAATATAGGCGCAAGTATGGCCTGCCGTGGGCAGACGCACATCCGCTGATCCAGCGGCATCCAGTGGCGCCCACTACGATGCATGTTGAGTAAGTAAGCCGGACGCCTGGCCAACCCTGGCCGGCTGTGTAGGCACATTAGGCGCTGCAAATCAGTCGCTCGCATGCAAATTCGCCTTCCCGCTGCGTCCGCTGTGGTGTTGTGACTCAGAATCAGCAGCGACTAAGTCTTCAGCGCCGTTACCGTTGCTGTTGTTGTGCAATCGACTTCGCAGCCAAACTCGTGGCCGTCTTGTGGCTCATACACTTAGCATAACTGCTACTTCTTCTGAATTGCCAGCGCGCACTCGCTGAAATTAATGTGCGCTACTAACGCGAGCGTGTGATTCAGCGCGCGGTAGCCGAAATCAATGACAAACCACCGTTGGAATGTCGCGCATCAGATCTTGTGGTTATCAATCGCGATGCTGTGCGGAAATTTGTCACAGCCAATTCATTTGAATTTCGCAAGCAATTGGGTTAATTTACGCACTCATCATCGCCAAACGACCATTAGCAAACGAGTTGAATTTACGATTACGGTATTAAGCGCAGCGTTGTAATTTAATTTAGTTGGCGAAATAAACGTCAGCTTGTTGGTTAGCATGTGATTTTAACGAGTTGCAATTAGGAACTTCACACACTTGTTCGTATGTTTGCTCACACTTTGGCGCACTCAAAGACACATACACAAAGAAACACATGCGTACATACATATATACATATGTAAAGTGTTAAGTGGCTGCGGCTTTGCATAATTTTGCGCAATCTGCTTGGAAAGTGGTGTGAATCAGCTGACCGGTCGGTGGTGGCTACTTTTTTACGGCAGCCAGACGCGCCCAGTACCTTGTCATTTAAGTGTGACACCAACAGCAACAAACTGTAGTACATACATATGTATATTGGCAGGTAAAACATTCAACTCAACGCCATCAAAGCGGCAATCATCATTAATAACATCATCATCAACCTCATCATGGCCTGCTTAAAATATCAGCATCGGCGCTGCCTAAGTGGATTGGCAGATGGCAGTTGCGATAAGCTTCGAATAACTGCAATAATTTTACACCATCGCCACAATGCTGCAATAAGCAAAAATATTACAACAAACCAAGAAATGATATTGTTTTCAATAACTGAAGGTGCACAGTGGTATCAGTAGCAGGAAAACGTAAACTGAAAACGGTTTTTACAATACAAAGTCTAATAACGCTCTGTTTGACAACTTTAATCATAAAAATCTCACGCTTACGTCGTGATGTGAAATTCGTCGGAGATTCTGCTCACATTGACTGATGGCTGTCGAGCTTTTTTAAGGTATTAACTACTGTTGGTGGCTTGTCAAATCTTGTTGAGAGGCGACAGTTAAAAAATTTTCTGATGCTGGTTGGAACGATAATCTGACAAAAGTCCCGAGCGGATTTCGTCACAGTTTTGTCTAAAGGATTTCAATATAGGTGTCTATATTAAAATAACATGTAATTTTTTTTTAAACCACTAATAAAACCTAAGCCTCGAAATAGAAAGCATACTTCTATCGCAAGTACTCTTGCAAAAATATCTATTTGGAACGAATTTATCTGAGAGAAAGAATATCAAAGAAACTATATGAATTAAATTTTGAGCTTCAGGCGCCCTATTGTGTCCAAAATAACTTACCATTAATGCTATATTGCACCTAGGTCGAATTTTTTTGTGATTACGAAAGAGCGGCATTAGCTTTTGTAATATTTTTAAGCGTATGAGATCATTGTAGTAATTAATAAAACACTGTGTATTTTGTAAACCCAAAGTCTCTACATTTTCAACTCGCCTCGTAATGCTTGTGCCACTAAACAATAAAATGTCGCGTTACGCAGCGCGTTGGAATTTCGGCCATTCGACGGTGGCCCACAAGGAAAGAGGTAAAAACACAAAAAAAAAAGAAAATTAAAAGCAAAAACAACTTTAAATACAACAGTAATAACGAATTGCGGAATTTGACAATATGGTGCTATCAGCACACGTAGCGTCATCAGCTTCTGCGATAATGCGCCTGCTCCCATTTCGTACGTTTTCAGTTTCCATCTTCCTCATTAGATGCTGTGTCGAGATAATTTTGTTTAATTTAGTGGTAATTCTTCGCAATACCGGCCGCTTATC